TGTGTGTTTGAGGGTATATGTGTGTGTGGGTGTGTATGAGTGTATGTACCTAAAGGCTACAGGTCAATGTTGGGTTCTCATTCACTTATCTACCTTTTATTTATTTATTTATTTATTTATTTATTTATTTATTTATTATTTATACAATATTCTGTCTGTGTGTCTGCCTACAGGCCAGAAGAGGGCATCAGATCTCATTTCAGATGGTCGTGAGCCACCATGTGGTTGCTGGGAATTGAACTCAGGACCTTTGGAAGAGCATGCAGCACTCTTAACCACTGAGCCATCTCTCCAGCCCCTATCTACCTTATTTTATGAGATAGAATCTCTTACTGAACCTGGAGCTCACCTGATTGGCTAGACTGGCCAGCCATCAAGACCCATGGACATTCCTGTCTTAACTTCCCCAGTGCTAGGATTACAGGCACATACCACAGAACCATTTTTGATTATTTTAACATGGGTTCTGGGGATTTGAACTCATGTCCTTAAGCTTGGACGACAAGCCCTTGACCAACTAACTGAGCCATCTCCCAGCCCCGCCCTGTTTCTAAAGTATCTTTACTTTAGAAGACTTTGGATAAAAATGCTCTGAGTAAGACAGAGAACCAGGAAAGAGATATTTTAATTGAGGGAGCCATTATGGGGCTATTAAGAAATTTGTCACTAGAGAAATTCCCAGGAATCCACGAGGATGACCCCAGCTAAGACCCTAAGCAACAGTGGTGAGGGTGCCTGAACCGGCCTTGCCCTGTAGTCAGATTGATGACTGTCTTAAATGTCACCATAGACCCTCCATCCAGCAACTAATGCAAGCAGATGCAAAGACCTGCAACGGAGCATTGGGCTGAGTTCCCAGAGTCCAGGGGTAGAGAGGAAGGAATGAAAATATGAGCAAAGAGGTCAAGACCATGATGGGGACACCCACTGAAACAGCTTACCTGAGCTAATGGGAGCCTTCCAACTCTGGCTTGACAGTGAGGGAACAAGCATAGGATGAAACTAGGCCCTCTGAATGTGGGTGACAGTTGTATGGCTGGGGCAGACTGTAGGGCCACTACAGTGAGACCAGGATTTGTCCCTATTGTTCGTTCTGGCTTTTTGGAACCCATTCTCTCTGGAGGGATACCTTGCTCAGCCTAGATATATAGAGGGAGGGCCTTGGTCCTGCCTCAAAGCAATGTGCTAGACTTTGTTGACTCCCCATGGGAAGCCTTACCCTCTTTGAGGAGAGGATAGAAATGGGATGGGGGTTGGGGAGAAAGGTGGAGGGAGCAGAAGGAGGGGAGGGAGTGGGAAATGGATTTGGCATGTAAAATGAGAAAAGATAGGTTTCTTTAAAAATAAATTTTAAAAAATTCTCTGAGTCTTTACAGAAGGGGAAAACTAACCACAATTAGTCTGTGATAAAAGCAGAAAAGGAAAACAAAACAAAACAACCCCCCCCCAAAAAAAAACAAAGAGAAAGCAAGCTTCTCATTAGGGAATCCTGTATGATTATTTAAATGCAATCTCTATGTCTTCATGTCCTGCCATGGATCAGAAGAATACATTCAGAAATAACATTTTTGAGAGCAGATACATTTGACTAAAGGCCAGGCACTAAGCATTTGGGAGCTGCCCTGTGCCAAACAGCAACATTTTACTTCTGTAAGTAACTTAATAATTTTATGAAGAGATAACAGAAAATTCTATTGCATGTCCCAGGTTAAACACTTGACATTTTATTCTTTAAAATGCAACATTTTCGAAGTCTAGATATGTTTATTAATTAGTGATTATTAACACTCAGTAAACAACATTATGTCTTGTAAAAACACAATCTCACTGCACAGCGTGAAGCTGAGTCTATTATTCCCTGATTCCATATGCTGAAATACACTCAAATGGTCACAAATGACCTTAAGCATTAAATAAATGTAAATGAGAACAACATAGAAAATGCACTTTTGATTGATAACTAAAAGACCAGGTTGAGAAGCATGTCCCCAAATGAAGTCTTTTCCAGAAGGAGATGGCTGTGTGAACCATAGAGGCAGGGGTTGGCTAAGTCTCCCTCCCGAGTGCTCGGATCACAGATCTATGCCATCGTGCCCAGCAGCACTTTGGTTTTTATCCATTGTGTCTGTTCATTCAACTGTTTTTCTCAAACTACACAGTCAGGGTAGGCAAGTGTCCTCGATATAGAGAAAACCTAAAACACTAAAGGATGCCAAAGTAATAGTGAAAGAGGAAATAATTCCGAATGGAACTGTTACTGTAACCAAATCTGTAGTTAAATACACAAAGGGACGCAGATACAGCCACTTCGTGCGCACTAACGGACAGCGTTCTCCTTCTAGGTCAGCTGGCCACAGGGTGGGGCATCACACAACAGGCAGTGGTTCTGCCTGGGGAAGCAGTTCTCCTACTCTGGATAAGAATGGACAGAATCAAAAGGGACAGGACCCCTGGACTGTTAAAACCATCAATAGATCAAGGTATCTTAGGTGCAGCACTATTGATGGCCTCGGCCAGATGCTTCTGTGTTTTGAAAGCTGACTATGAGTGATCTCCACCATGAAACATCAGGACCCGTAGAAACCAGTAGCAACATTGCCCACTCTGACCCCAAGTCATGACAAAAATAATTATCTAAAAAAAAGTGCCCAGGGACTGCCCGAATCCTCTAGGGGTGCAAGACTGTCCATGCAGAGGGTCACTGGAATAAAGCCACTGAAGAAGGCCTCAAGCTGGGCTTTTGTCAACTTCACTCTGCATAATCTTAGCCAGAAAGTGGGCCGGAAAGGTGACTTGGTGGTTAGGAGCACTGGTTGCTCTTCCAGAGGACCCAGGTTCAGTTCCCAGTACCCACATGCCAGCTCACACCTGTTTGAAAGTCCAGTTCCAGGGGATCTGATACCCTCACACAGACATACATTCAGGTAAAACACTAATGCACATTAAAAAAAAAAACCAAGATGAAAACAAAACAGAACAAACCTCTCCCGAGCCACGAAGTGACCCTAACTCAGCGAATAATACATTATTTGAGTGTTCTATACAATATGTAGTTTTGGTGTTCTCAGCTACTGAATGGAGGGTTTGCCTGCCTGAGGAGAGTGTTCCAGGACACATGTGCAGTGCTCAGAACGGTGCCTGACACTCAGTAAGTGCTCATCTAACATTATCCATTATTACTGTATTAATCCATAGCATCAGGAAAGCGGCTTCAGCTGAGAAGGTTCAAATCAGACAGGAGGCGGAAGGATATCTTACCGGCTTGACACTTTCTGAGCCTTGAACACGCCCGTCTTCCGATGGCTTGTGATGATGCTGTCCACATCTACAGGGCACAGTTAAGAGAACTTTTGCGGTCACTATCAACCGACCGAGAAAGAACCTAAAACACACTGGCTTCTTCCCACCGTGGGATCAACACAAAAGAAAGGAGGGAGCGGTCGATGCTGTGCCATGAAATGCCAACTTCCCGCTGGCAAGACCTTTCCATTCTCCAGCTGACCATCTTACTGCCCATGGAAGGAGCATCTAGGTAGCATCATGGCAGGACGCAGAGGGTATAAGCTGGAGGACACAGCTGGGGAACATGAGCTGCTATGCCACTTCCCCGGGGCAATCAGGCATCCAAAGACAGATGTCCTTCAGCCAGTGAGGAGAGCAATGGCAGTCTTTGTTGGCTTCCCAAATTGAAGTGGTTCCAATCCCCTAACCACCTGTAGTGGGAGGGGAGACGAGCAGCGGGGGGCAGTGTTGGGAGGAGGAAAAGAGAGGTGGAGAAAAACTTGGAGCGTCTTTGGGGGGAAATGCAGCACCAGTGAAGAAAGCCATTCTAGTGAAGGGTCTCTTGGAGAACTTCTACGCTGGCCTCTGGCCATGTGCTGGCGAAGGACTCACACAGAAGAGCCACGTACGTTTATATTAGAGAAACTTTGCATGACATCCAAAGACCCTCGGGAAAATCACATCTGGTTCAACATCAGGAAAAGCAGGACTTCAGATCTACAATGGGCAGCATGGGTGTCTGTGAGCGCTGCTATTTCTCTTTGCTCCGGACTGACAAAGCCTTCTGAATACACTAAACTCTGACACCCAGACACTCCTGTGGACTTATTTTCTGTACTGACCTCTGTCCCTGGCTTACCCTGGTTTCCTAACTTCTGAATACCCCCACCTTCTCATTTATTTGACCTGACACATTTCCTCTAAGACGCCTCGCCATCCCTCTTCTGGAGGAAGGCAAGTTTAAATAAACAAGAACTCAAAGAATTCTAGTGAAGGCTGCAAGCTGAACGAAATTGGGCCCATGGGGAGGACACCAGGCAGACAGCGATGTTCCCCTATTGCTCGGAAAAACCGATTTCCTGAACGTTCAAAGCAAACGCTGGCCAAGATCTCCCTGCCAGAACAGAACCGCAGGATTCTTAAACCCAGATCTCTGCTTGAACCACCAGGCACACCCATTCTTCTCTGAGTGAATAAGCAGGTACTGTGTGATAGGGAGGAAAAATCAATTAGGTCTCCTAATGATGGGCTTTGTAGAGGTTTACAAAAGTGCCATAATGCAGACTTTTTTTTCCCCTGGGTGAACTTTCCTGTATGCAAATTAAATACCGTTAAATTACATTCATTAAAAAAATAAAGGAGACTAATTTGCCTACTTGTTTTGATTAACTAAAATGACACACCGGCCTACAGTTTCTGTCTATTTCAGGAGCGTTCTAGATGAAATAGCTTGCAGGAAAGGACGCCTGACATCTTCATTCTGAGGAGCACAAAATTAGTAGAGTCAACTGACAACTGTTTTTTATTAAGTCCCCTCCCCCTAGCCACACCCTACTCTGCGTTTCCATGGCACCCAACTGCCTGCCATGCTGTGCCGGCACACCTGTGGCGTCCTATGAGTGCATGACTAATCTATCAAGCAAAACATATTATTTTGTTAGTGGAGGTAATACTTTTTTATAAAATAGTCTCAGGGAGGCTAAATTATATAACTCGGAAAACCTATTAATAATTTTTAGTAAACATTTTAACACTATATACTTTATACAATTTAGAAACCTGTGACCCTGGGTGGTCAGGCTGGAGCAAGTGTGGTTATTTAAGGTCCAGAAGTTATTTTTCTTAAAGGAAAATTTCACAGTGGTATTGAGGCTGCTTTATTTTTAGGACAGGGCAGGAAATAAATTGAGGTTTAGAAGGGCTTTTAAAAATATATCGAGAGAATCACAGGAGAAAAGACAGCAGTGCTGTGTTAAAACATTACCTTAAGATAAACTCTGATATTCTCGCCTCCTCCCCCCATAGGTCAGATTTTGATGGTGTTTCTGGGTGGCACTGTGTCCAATAATAGATTTTATCATCTTCCTGTGTCACCTCAGGGTAATAAAGGAAATCCAATCAAACTGAGTCAATATGACCAGGATAACGCTCAACACAACAGACCCCGGCGTGCTCGGTGATCTGCATCCACTTTCAAGAAGGTCTCAGTGGGAGGGGCCGGCTGCCACGACAGCCTGCCTGTGGTTTCTGGATGAGATGGGACCAGGGTAGCTGTCTCAGTCCCCTTGTCACGGCAACTGCTTGTGGCTCAGCAGGAGTCAGGTTTCTACGTCTAGTTTCCTTCTTGAATGCTCCCGAAATGCCAGGAGCGATGCTTCATTTCAATTATCAGTTTATTTTTATTCTTAAAATATATACTCATATACAATACCAACAAAAGTCTTTTAAGTCAATTGCATATATTATAGGCATATAAAATGCTAGTGTCACTGTGAGTCGGTAATTGTATTTATCAATTGTATATACATTTGGAATCAGCTTATTTTTTTAAATGATTTATTTTATGTGTATGGGTGCTTTGTCTACATGTATGTATGTGTACCATGTGTGTGCTTAATGTCTTTGGAGATCAAAAGAGGGCATCAGATCTCCTGAGGCTGGAGGGACAGACACGGGGAGCCATCATGCGGGTGCCGGGAATTGATTCCAGGTCCTCTGAAGATCACCCATAAGTTATCTGTCCAGTCCCAGTATTGTTCTTTGGAAAAAGATTTCATTTTAAATTATGTATGCATGTGTGTCTCTGTGTGGGCATGTGGATGTGTGTGTGTGTGTGTGTGTCCTGCAAAGACCGGAGGTGTTGAATCACCCCTGGAGCTAGGAACCAATCTGGAGTCCTCTGGAAAAGCAGTAGACACCCATAACTACTGAGACATCTCTGCGGCCCAGTATTGTTCTTTGAACCAAAAAAATATTTAAAAAATAACACTGTGATTCATGAGGCTTTGTCTTTTGGTTTATATTATCTTTGATTTCATTGGGGAATTAAAAAGGAGGGAAGAACACTAAGATTATAACATAAATCCTATTTTTTAACCATTTTTATTTCTTTTTAAGATTTTATTTTTATGTGCATTGGTATACACATATTTGTCAGTGAGAAGGTGCCAGATTTACTGTAACTGAAGTTACAGACAGTTGCGAGCTGCCATGTGGGTGCTGGGAACTGCTCGTCTTCTGGAAGAACAGTCAGTGCTCTTAGCCTCTCCGCCATCTCTCCAGCCCAACATAAATCCCATTCACTTTGATCTAAATGACTTTTTAAATGTTCAAAAGTGGCATTTTTTTTTCTGATTTAAGGCAACATACTCCTCTTTTTTGTTCTTGTTGTTTTTTGAGACAGGGTTACTCTGTGTAGCCCTAGCTGTCCTAGAACTTGATCCATAGACCAGGCTGATCAATCTCAAAGATCTGCCTGCCTCTGTCTTCCAAGAACTGGAACTAAAGGTGTGTGCCACCACCGCCTGACTCTGCACTACTCTTAAATCTGTTCCTTACTCCAACAAATTGAGAGTTGACACCCAGAAGCCACCAAGTCGGCTAGCAATGACACCTTGCCACTTGTTACATTTATGCATGACAGGTCTATTTTTTTTTCCATCGTCAGGTGCTAAGGAAATACAGCACTCACCCAAGTATCCTCACCTGTGGTGAACCAGAGAGATTTAGAGGGCTGGCAACAGGCCGTGTAATAAGAACGAAGCTGGCTTCTTAATGCTGGTTTTGAAACTTACTGCTGTGTGACCATGGGTCCAATGTCTCTGAGCTCCAAAACTAAATAGGAACAGTGCCATCTATTTTATAGATATCATAAATGATATCTAGAGATATAGAATATATCTCTATATAAATGGTATATATAGATATATATCTATATAAAATATATGTATATAAATGGTACATCGATAGAAAATATATCTATTTTAGTACGTCTATTTTACAGGCTTATGGGGTCTCCCATAGGACAGGTTCAAGACATAGTGGGTGCATAACTCATGTCAAGTTTATCATTTTTTGAAAAATCCAACCCAAAATGTTTGGTGGAATAAGAAGGCTAGTCTTTGCACTATTTTAGCTTCACATTGAGCCACTCCTCCGGAAACTCAGAGTTAATCATGTGACTATTTACCTTGGATTTGAAAGAAGTGGAGACCAACTTTTGCCCTGAACCCTTTATATGTGGCACCCTGTTCTCAACATGGCAAAAGCTGTGTCCCTAGTGGGTGGGGACTTACTGTCTCACTCACCGTTTGAAAGGCTAGGCTGTGGCTTAAGGCTTGCCTCCTATGCTGGAGGCCCCAGCCAGCAAAAAAAGGGAGATGCCATCTGACGGCCGTACAGTGAGGCACATAGGGCTCATGTGTGCCGCCCAGGAGATGGAAGGCTGGCGTCATAGGACGATGGCCTGGGATTTGCAAGTTCTCTGCCCCCCACAGCACAGGCTGCACCACAACCACGAGGCTCTCTATTCATTAATTACACAAGTCAGGGATCCTATTTTAAAAATGGCAAACCTGGGCATCTCCTGTAGAGTCATGGGATTTACCTGGCTTTGAAGACTCCGAAGTCCTAAGTTCTAAGTGTGTCTATGCACACAAACCACTGGGATAAGAACACAGAACACTGCTCCAAGCACAGGAAGATTCTGAAGACAACACTATAGATGTTGACAAGAGATGGGCCAAGGTTGGGTGCTTGAGGAGAATCAGTTAGTGATCATGACCAACCAGGTTGTTTCATTTTTCTTTTCCTCTTATGTTCCTTCCCTCCTTCCTTTCTTTCTTTTTTGCTTCGAGACAGGGCTGCACATAATCCAGGCTGGCCTTGAACTCCTCACCCTCTTGCTTCCAGCTCCCAAGTGCTAAGATTATAGACAAGTACCCTATACCCCAGTTCTATTTCTATTCAACATGGTTTGCAGAGGGCTTTACAGCCACCAGAATTTAGCCTGCCATTTTCCTCCCCTTTTCTTCTCCCATTGTCTTCACCAGCTATACACCTAAGTAGTTACTATATATGAATATTTAGGGGTTTCTTTCCTTACTGCACTAAAAGGAAAATGCCAAAGGGCATTTTTGCATACTATTTTAAATAATTTTGAGGGGTTGGAGAGATGGCTCAGTGGTTAAGAGCACTGGCTGCTTACTTTGATCGCCAGCACCGCATAGTGGCTTATAACCATCTGGGATTCCAGTTCCAGGGGATCTGGCACCCTCTTCTGGCCTCTGTGGGCACTAGCTATGCACATGGAGCACAGACATGCATGCAGGCCAAACACCTAGTTACAAAATTAAAATAATAATAATAATAATTAAAACAAAATTGAGAACTGAGTAGACCAGATGATCCCATTTTCTTCTGATCCTTTATATTCTTGTGGGGCACAGAAGAAATGGTATCTTTAGGGAAAGATGGTTTTCAGATGGGGATTCCTGGATTAAAGTCAGTACCTTAAGGACTAAGAAAAACCTCAAGGAAACCTACTCATGAGTCTGAGAAAATATTCAAGATATAAAGTTCATTTTAGCCCAAGTCGTATTTTCTTTCTAGAGAAATCTCTTTGCAGTGAATCTCAGATCCACGGCTAGCTTCCCAGGGTCAGACACAGCCGACGCTGGGGACACCGCAGCCACACACGGCCACACAATTGGCTAATATGCTTTTGTGATCTATAGGTTCAGACCTAATCTCTCTGTTGTCTCACATATTAAAAATAAAACAAGCTGAAATAAAATAGCATGCTATTTTTTCTAAAAAAATAAAAGAAAATAAAAATCAGAATGGCAGAAGCTTAAAGAGACTAGTAAATAAAACTGGTTGGCTTCATTCCGTTCAGAAGCTAAGAACAACAAAACAATTTTAAAATGATGAGACTAATACCCAGGCGATGAGTGACTGCCAGGTCGATTTTTATCATTTCTCTGGTGTGTTCATTTGTTTCTTAATGTGCTCATCTTGCCCATTAAGAATAATTAGCAGCTTTGCTTAGAGATTTGCTGGCTTCTGGCAATGTTTCCCCACACACACTTTTTGTTGCTGTTGTTGCTATTGGCATCCACCTTTCCTGTTTAGAAAGTAATTTTTGGGTAACTGCTGTATAATTTGGGCTTCCTAAAATTTTAAGGGAAAGACATAAACAGCGATTTCTAAATGAGTTGTTTGATCTATATGCATCAACAGTATGCGATTTGGTGAATGAGTTGTTCTTACGGAGGGGGCACACAAATGGGGAGGGGATTCACTCCTATTAACCTCACTCAGCAAAAACAGATTACAAGGCATGCCTATTGTGAGCTGTTTGCAAATCAAGAACAACATTAGTATTAAAAGCAGGAAACCACATTGCCAATTTTAAGGCTTTTGCATGCTTTTTTCTCTTAATTAAAATAAATTAGATCTACTTACAACAGAAAAAGGCACACAAACACGGAACGAGCCATCATAAAAACCGAACCCTATCAGGAAGGTCCTAAGAGATGAAATAAAACGCACGGCCAGTTTGGGCTGCATCCTGAAAGGACCTACTTCATCTGCATTGTAAGGTTCTCCCTCCTGCCCTTTGGCACCCCGCTATATTAAACCCATTGTAAAACCCAGCACAATAAAGCACTCTCAGGGCCGAGCCTCTGAGGACCAAATGTTAAAAATCCATTTTCTTGGGAGGGGGCTGTACCAATCATTTCTTTGAAAGGCCGGCAGAGTGAATGGCAGAATCTGAGATTTCCTCTCTGATTTCGAGGGCTGGCATGGCATCTCTACTGCTTAAAGCGAAGGTGCGCTAATAATTAATGACATTGGCCTCGCCTCCCTCCTTCGGACCCTCTGTACTTTAGTTCAGTCGTAATTTTAGGACAATTAAATTTACATACTGACTCTGGATGCTCCCCACAGTTTGACGATAAAAAGTTCTAATTGATTTCCGGTGCCTTTAAATAAAGTCACTTGGTGACTTCAGCGGGGGGCCCGGGGGGGGGGGAATCTGAGGGTACTGGGCCCAGTCGGAAAGTTTCTGGAGCCAAAACATCTCTCTCTTATTCAATATCCCTGTCTTTCTAAACTCAGAAAAACACCGTGTGGACTGAGCTGGTACACCTGAGAGCTGCCCTTGCTCTCTGTTCCCTGACAAGGAGGAGCACAGGGAAATAATACGGGCACAGAAGAAACCAGAATAAAGACGCGAGACTGGAGCAGCAGTTGTCTTCGGGAATATTTAGAAAAACTTGCCAGTCTCAAGATCATGATCAGAACCCTACGTTTAAAAAAAGGAAGCGCCTTTTGTGATCTCTTTCCCTGATGTGAAAGGCAAAGATTGTGATTGGCTGTTTTCCCTTCCTGAATTTTTTTTTAAGAGCTGTCAGGCAATTAGCTGGGTGGGGCTCTGCGGAGCTGCAGAACAGCATTAGCGAGCAAGCTTCTCCGTCCTCCTTCCTCTGTGTGAGCAGCTGATGGGGCTGCTGGGAATTTTATTTTCGAAAAAAAAAATTACAGAGCAGAGGAAGGAGGAAAGGAAATAAAAAAATAGGCTTTATGTAAAATGTCACAAAATTCAAAGCTACTTCAAGTCTTTGAAGGAACTGAAAATTCAAATAAGGGTCCTGTCTTCCTCACCATGTCAAAAAAAAAAAATCCAAAGCAAACAGATCTTCCACCACTTTTCCTCTCAATTTCTAACGGCTGTTAACTACGCTGAGCACATCAGCAAGGCTGCTAAAGTAGCCATAAATTGTGCTTGCTTCCTTAGTTAAAGTACAGTTCAATTTTCTGAACTCTGTGTACATATTAGTAAAGCATAATCTAATATAATGGGGTTTGAACTGTAATAGCATAGCAGGAAAAAAAAGAGATAGCATTTTAATCCTAAATAAAAGGAGATAATGAAGAAACGAGAGCTGTTTCCAGAGGGGAATATAGGCAACTCCTTAACAATTAGCGTAGGTACAGTATGACTGGCCTGTACAATATTACATGCCTTGGAAGCTAGACATTAATATTTCCAGGCAACACCAAATAAAGTAAATAGCAATTTTAATCCGTTTTGTGCTGGAAGACCTTAATGAAAATAAAGAGCAAGAATGCTTCACAATTATGAAATAAGATTTTGAATTGCCTCGAGAGGCGCACAAAACATAGGCTCCTTCAGTGAGAAGTGTCTGTAAGCCCTATAAAAAGAGACATATGCAGTCAACCGCAGTGAATCCATATATTTCTAGTTTTTCTTAATTACTGATCATGTGTACGGGGAGCTCTTTTTTAATACCCCGTGCTGTCTTTCTTTCTATCAATTGTTACTCAGCCCGGGGTGGTGGTGGTGGTGGGGGGTGGTTGGGAATGAGCACAACAAACCGGCTTTCTATCTGAATAAGGATACTTCTGATGGCCTTTTCATTCCCATCAGTTAACAGAACTTCTTTGACATCTGCAGAAATAGCAACCTGGAAAAAAAAAAAAAAGGAGTAGAGCAAACAATGAGCAAATATGCTTGTCTATGCGGAAGTGAAGACAGGAGTGACAAGCCTTCAGTATCATGCTACCTCACCTATTCCTCTGTAACAATCTTCAATCTTTTTTCATTTTATGTCTGCATTATTTTAATCATTCAATCAAATCAGTCAATACTTTTATCATTCCATTTGCGGGAGCCTCTATCTTGCTATCATTCTGTTCGGTAATTGCATTGTGACAGCGGATGATGCCATTCTGAGAGGCTTTCATTTGTGGGCTCCTGTTTATCTAGTAGAGCCATCATACAAGGCTGTCACTCTGCCTTTCAGCCTGCTTCTGTCTGGCTGCCTGATGCCCTTCATATAACTTTGCATTGCAGGCAGATGGCTTTGTGAGGGTAATTTTTTTGTGAGCTTTGACATGCTCGCACATTGGGCTGTAACCTCGACACATTGTATAAGAGCGACAGGTTTGTCAAATGCCAATCAGTGTAACAATATGCTTTTATTTGTAGAGACATAAAAACTTGTCTAATGCACTGTGCTGCTACATAATATCTCCCGAATACATGACTCAGAACCCAGAGAATGGGGAACGACGTTCCTGAATGGCCAATCTAATTCAAAAGAATCTAATTACTGAGCGCTCTGGATCATGTTTGTTGGTGTAATAATGCAGGCAAAACATTAGCAGCTATCTCATGTGCTCCAACTGTGATTCACCAGGCTATTCCTGTATCTTAGCAAATGGGACTATAATCTGAAAAAAAAAAATGCTTTCGCTATGGCAAAGAAAGACTGTGTGCGAGGCCTGGAATGTCACAACAAGCGATATTGACTACACTGAGGTAAAATGTTTCTGCTCATCGAGGCAACCATAAAATCAATATGATCCGAAAGTAAGTCAATCTAGAAGGTCTCTCAAGACCCGGCAGCTTGACCGCAGCTGATGCTGTTGACGGTTCTCTGACCCAGCAGTTGGAGGCCCTGGAACATTTTTTCTTTTGTTCCTCCCTCTGAATGGGATTGGAATTGAGAAAAGACCTACCATGAGCCCAGCCAAGCATGTCATGCCACCCCCGAGCTCACACACAGCAAGGTCCCTGAAAGAGAGAAAGAAACGGTAGAACCCATACAAATGAGATGAAATGGTCAGAGCCACATATATGTTACAAGAACAAATCGCCATCTGCGGTAAGGACGACACTACCGGGGAGCTGTGGAGACGCGACCGGGCTACCTCATGTCGTTTTGCGTTTTAAAAATAATTATGAAATAGAGAAGTCACAAAGCAGGCAAACCAGTGGGGGTCCCTTCATTAGTGTTCACTGCAACATTACCACCGCTGAGCTGAAAACTCCGAGAAGGTTCCCTTTCTCCCCTTGTCAATGGTGCTGTCTTTGAGAACTAAACTAGCTAGAGTAGCGAAAGGTAATTGTCAGGAAAGGATAGCATTGTTAATCCACATTCATGCCTTCAAAACCAGTTAGACGAGTAAACCAAGAATATATATGAGTGTGTGTGAACTTACGTTAGAGTCACACACAACACACAAATAAATGCAATCCTGATTTTTTTTTTTAATTCTTTAAAGAAAGCTGAAACAGTTTGGAAGCTGAACCACCCCCATAAAGCACAATTACACAAAGAGCATTTAGCAATTAACCCTGAGATCACAACTGACCCCACACTACTGCAACAAATAAGCAAGGAAGGGACAGCACAGGGTTAGGCCAGCAGACCTGAAGTCACGGTTGGGCTCAGGGTGAAGGCTGGGTGCGCCATTCTACATTTACTTTCCCCTTTTGGGCCTAAATATCAGCCCTCAATGTGTGATATTCTCGCTCTGGCCCACTGCTTGCTGGCTGGAGTTTAAGCATAGTGAGATTAGGAAATGCCAGCCTTCGGGGCAGCCATGTAGCCCTGATCCCGGACTGCCCTCTTTAGATGTTATATGCTTAGGGTCTTAACACAGTTTCTTCCTCTCGGTATGAGAAGTTGATTATCCCAAGAGGGGAAAAAAAAGCAAAATGGAAGTGGGGGGCGGGGTGAAAGAGGATATTTATATTAGGAAATATTTGAATGTATATTTAGTTATTCAAAGGAATACAGACTGCTTGGTAAGTATGGACCCACAGAGCTTCAAAAATTACATGGTGTCAACTCAAGCGTGTAAGGACATATGGTTAAAATACACCATGCCCACCAATGGTGTGCTATGAAACATGATGGACTATTAGGAAATGTATGTAGGATGCTCATAAAAGGACAACTAAAATGAAAAAAAAAGCTTGTACTTTCTGATTGTAGCAAAGAGCTCCAGAATTTTTAAGTAAAGAATCTTTTCCCCTCTTCCCTAAATCCCAGAAAATCATGGTTTGATACATAACACTAACACATGTTAACAGCTGAGATTATTGATTTCTTTAGTATGGTAATTTATATTATACATATTGTCAAGGACACAAGAAATACCTTTAAAACTAGAACATCAAGTAATAGCCATGAGGCATTTGTCAAATGCACCAGTGACTTCCCCAGCAGAAGTTAAAGAATGTGTTTCTCGTGGGGACCCTTTCTTTTGACCTTCACAATCAGCAAGGATTGATTGCGCCTTCCCTTTGTTTCCCCCAAATCAAAGCGAAATAAAATGCCTCGAGTGAAAATCAAAAGCCTTTGACACCCAGCAAAGGCTTGCTGCGCGGTGCGCACACCCCAGGGCAGTGCGGAGCCGCCTCAGAAGCAACGCGTGTTCACAGCGACTTTTCCTTCTCTCTTTCTTCCTTTCCATCATTTACAGCTTGAAGACTGTAGAGTGGACCATTTTTTTTTTTCAATTCACAGATTCAATAACCATGATGGGCTAAACAAATATCTTTTAAGTGTGGCTCTTACCTGAATATATTTCTGTGCTTGAGGCAGTAGTAAGCTAAAACCTCCTCAGCTGGCCAGATACCTGGAAGCACAAGAGCAGAGATATTAGGATAAAACAGTCTTTTTCTTCCAGACGAGCTTTTAAAAATGAAGACTCAGTTCAGGCCATTGCAACTCAAACCAAACTTAATATGGTGGCTCTGTGCCTTGCGCCAGATCATGAATTTCCTTGGCTGTTATTTTTGTAATGGCCGACGTATGACCTCTCCCCAGAGTGACAGCAAAATGGCCTCCAGAAACTTTGCTAAACTTCAGTCACAATAAAACAGAAAAACTGTGAACAACCATTACAGATATCAAAAGTTAAATGTTGATGGTAGTTCAAGTGGATCTTAATCCTATTTGTGCAAAAGTAAGACACATAAGTTGAAGGCTTGCTATATATGTAGTTCCTGTAGCAGGGGAAGAATGAGAAAAAGCTCACTTTAAGGGGCAAATAAAATTACTGAGGTCATTCTATATTGGGTGGGGTTGTTTGAGACAGGGTTTCTCTTTGTAGCCCTGGCTCTCCTAGAACTTGTTCTGTAGACCAGGTTGGCCTTGAACTCAGAGATCTATCTGCCTGTCTCTGCCTTCCGAGTGTCAAGATTAAAGGCTTGCATCACCATCACCCAGCTTTCTACACTTTTCAATATTAATGCCTTAAAAATATCCACAATTCCTTCATTTCTTTAATTAAAACATCAAACTGCAGTATAAAATTGAGACATTAATTTCACCAATTTTGGCATGCCTTTAAAACAAGCAGTAATCCTATACACTAAACTGCATGGAACGGCATTTCCAAAGATCATCACTTATACATTCATTAAGAAGACAAAGTTCAAGAATGAATATGAATTGCTTCCCAGGTAAATATGTTGGAAGTCACAGTTACTGGTGGTTGTCATAGAATGGTCAGATTATGTGAGCTCTTAATATTTCTCTATACTTTTTTGTAGTTTCCAAAATTTTTTACAATGAGCTTATATTACCTTAGATATTATTAGAATAAATTATAGCCTCATAAAAGTTATGGCTTCCTCCAAGGAATCAGCCTTAGCCATCAAATGGGGGACTCCCCACTGGGTTTCCTTCTTGGGAGGTTAAGGATACCCCATGGCCCTTGGAAAGAGCGGCCATATCTCAGCACTCAGCACAAAGTTAAAGACATTGAAAACAATGGATTTTCCTACCAAGATGAGCCTCAACATAAGAAATGTAAACATTTCTGAGAAGAGGATGTGAAGAAATGAAAGCAACCAAAGACAGTGGATGGATGAGTTAATGACAAGGAGGAAGAGGTTGCTCCAGCAGGCACCTTACAGGAAAGCCCCACAGGGTGAATGTCACTACTCCAGTCTCCCAGCATTTTCAGTAGAGAGGAAACCATGGGAAAGAACAAAGAAAAGCAGCAAGAGGTGTTTGGAAACACATTTGGAGGGAAGGCACACAATGGGAGAGTGTAGCAGTTAGGACTACAGGTACCTGAAACCAGACCATTTGGGCTCCGGTCCGTGCTCCGCGGTGCTAGATAGATTGGATAGGTTACCTAATCTCTGTGCCTTGGGTTTTTCATCCAGAAAGCATGGAACTGCAACAGCAACTCCACAGAATGGCTGAGATCAAATGAGTGAAACATGCAGTGTGCTCACAACAGTTCCTAGCTCACAATAAGCACAAAGGAAAAGCAAGTTGTTGCTGCTGGCATCTTGCAAAGGAGGGTGCAACAGCAGATAGAAGAGAGAATGTGTGTGGACACAGAGAGAACAGTAGATAGAAGAGAGAAGGTGTGTGGAACATAGGGATTATCCTAAGAGTTGGCAAAGATGGAGAACTATTTCTACCACTACTTTGTCTGGATCCCAAAGTCATAAGACCTTGTACACCTCCCCACAAAAAGACCTCCATAAAAAAAAAATACAGCCAAGTGGTGATGGTGCACGCCTTTAATCCCAGCAGTCAAGAGGCAGAGGCAGGAGAACTCTCTGTGAGTTCAAGGCCAGCCTGGTCTACAAGAGCTAGTTCCAGGACAGGTTCCAAAGCTACAGAGAAATCCTGTCTTGAAAACCAAAAAAGAAAAAAAAAAGTCTAAAGTACATAATAAAATTCTCTGAAAACAGAGTCAAGACAGTATTCTCACTAAGTGGCTGTAATCACCCTGAGTACATGGCTGTGAGGGTTTTTTTTTTTAAGTAATGATAGGGGAAAGGTATTTATCTAAAACTTAAGCCCCAATGAAGAATGAACGTAACTTCTAAAATGCATAGCCTTTTCAACTCGTTTATATTTTTTAAAGAAATTACAGAGTGATTTTTTTTTTAAATCAAGTAAAATACAAAGATCAAAAGGCTAAATTTCTACCATTAGCAATATAATCACTGTTAATGTTTTAGACATCATTCCAAAAACCTTTCTAGTCATAAAGGTATCTCACCCAGTTGGGATCTTCTCATGCAGGGATTCAGTAACTTGATTTTATCCCCATTCAATAAGGCGTAGGAGGAGTCCATAACACTGAGCTCACAGTCCAGTTGTGTCATTTGTACCAACAGCCTCTTGTGTACATTAGCATTCAATTAACCCATTTCCTCTTATTAGATAGCTAGGTGGTGTTCAAAGTTTGTAATAGTATAAATAGCAAGAGAAGGATATACCTTCTCCTGACATACTTTCCCCCACACTTAGAGATGGGATATCTGGTGAAAACCAAGTACGGGTTCTGGAGAGATGGCTCCGTAGTCAAGAGCACTTGCTGCTCTTGCAGAGTATTGGGGTTCAACTCTTAGAACCCACATAATGGCTTACAAATCATCACTAACTCCAGTTCCAGTGTATACAACCTCTTCTGACCTCCAAGAGTATCAGGCATGTATACTGCACATATATACATGTAGATAAAATACTCATACATGGAAAATAAAAATAAGCAAATCCTTAAAAACTTGAGTATGGTCCATATTCTGATTAAACAGTTCAAGCATCCCTAATCTGAAATCCAAAATACTCCAAAATCTGAAACTTCCTGGGTAGTCACTTGATGACAGATTCCACACATGCTGTCAAGTGACATCATTCAAAACAAAGTTGCACTAAAAGCACTACATAAAGCACTTCAGTTGACTCATATAAAATACACATGAAGCAAAGGAATTTCATGTTTACACTTGAACTCTATTCATGAGACATTATATACATGTTAATATCCTCCAATTTAAAATGATCCCAAATTTATGCCTCTGGTCCCAAACCTTAAAGATAAGGGACATTGGATCTATATTTAAATGTCCCATGTGAAATTTGTACATTCTATATATTCCCAGGAGAATGTAAGTTCCAAGTCTGCAGTTGTCACCCAGACACAGAGGAAGCAAGATGAGAATCCCTCGCTGATAAAAAGGTACCAAGCCACATGGTTAACACAAACAATAATTATTTTGGGTTAATGTAAGTTATAAGAGTTAGTTAATAAGAAAGCCTGAGCTAATAGGCCAAACAGTCTATAATTAATGTAGACCTCTGTGTGTTTCTTTGGGACTGAACAGCTGTGAGACCAGGCAGGACAGAAATTTCTATCAACAAATGGTGCCAACCTGGACAACTAAACCCACTTAAAACCTGAGAGAGTTTGTGAAGGAATTCTAGGCATAAAAAGAACAGAGTTAAGCATGGCTTCTTGGTGGCAGCATTTTCTCAGGTGGGCTCTGTTTGCTATCTCACTTAAGAGAGGCTTCCTGATTCAGTTTTAGTTGCAAAACCCTTGCAGCTCTTTTAAGAGGACCCACCACCAAACACTTAAATGGTATTTATGGATAGCTGACAACATGCTTCTTGGTGGGGGCAGGGACTTTAAAACTCCATAGAGTTGTAACAATAAACATGGCTCCCACCAGTACCTCTGCCATGATGTTAGACTCTTAGAAAGCTAAAGACTTGGGTGAATCCAGTCGTCAAAGCCACGACTTTAATCCTAGCCATATCACTTAGCAAATTAAAGACTCATGTGGTCAGAAAAAGAGAAATGTACAGTAAAGATAAATTCAGACATTTGTTTTAAATGGTTTACATTGTGTTTAAAATATATATTGGCTTGAGAGAGAAAAGAAAAAGGATAAAGCCTTTTTCCTTAAAAAAAAAAAAAAAGAGAGTAGTTGGGTGTGGTTGTACACATCTTTAATCCCAGCACTTGGGATGCAGAGGCAAATGGATCTCTGTGAGTTCAAGCACAGCCTGGACTACAGAGTGAGTCCAGGACAGCCAAAGATACACAGAGAAACCCTGTCTCAAAAAAAAAAAAAAAAAACAGAAATTAAAAATAAAAATAAAATAAATAGAATTTAAAATAAAGCCACATAAAGATGGAAAATACATAGAGAATCTGGATACTGTATGCTATTATGTTGTCTTTGAAATGTTTGACAGCTAAGGAAGAAGCAACAGCTGCTAAATGACACTTGATTATAAATGCTGCTGGATTAATCAAACATATACTTTGAAAATGTCTTGACTTCAAAATTTAAGTCAAAAGATCTGTTACTTTGGAGAAGAGGTTTTGTTTTTGTTTCCACAGGAAATGAGAGGTTGTGGATTCAATCTGGGTTAAAAAAAATCATGTTTGATTAAGGAAGACCCCCCTGAAGAATCTCCAGTAGGGGCAGATGGCCCAGATGATTCAACATTTCAGAGGATCTCTGTTGGAGTTTGCTCTGAGTTCTACATCCAGAACAGCCTCAAAATTGCTGGCTGAGATGACCAAGCCTCACAGAATATTCCAGTCAGGACCTGACCATAATCCTAAATTTTCTTTAGGTCCCCATAAGATTATCAGGGTCCCCCAATAAGCAGGAAGTAGCCTGGAAAGCTATGCCCACATTCCCTCCCCCAAAAGGATTTTGGATGTTTGTCTTTGTTGAGAGTGTTGGTTACAAGTTGTTATGGATAATGGTCAGGAGAAAAGCTAAACAAAGGAGATTCAATTCAAAGCTCTTGTTTTGAAAACAAAAGAGGGGGGAAGTGCTGTGGGACAATGGTCTTGTACCCTAT